AAAAAAAGACCCCTTCAAAAAAAAACCCTACCTTCCTACCCAAACATTTCAGCCTGGGTTGGGTGAGGGCAAACAAAGATTTTTTTAATTGAGTCCGATTAGTACACTCGCTCTCCGACGCTCTCCGAGTTTCATCTATAAGATATGACATGCCTTCTGAACCCCTGGGGAGGAAACCCTGGGCTGTATACGACCTCTGTAGCGGGAGGCGGCACTCTCGTAACGCTGTTGGTTCCTCGTTACTTCCCCCGCGAATCGTGAACTCGTGAGTCGTGCGTCTCCTTACTGATTGACTGACCACCTGACGGACCACCTCCTAACGCGCGTGAGAGACGTCTAGGAGACGTAAAGCACGACGCAAACGTGAATAATTTTACTCACGTGAAATGATGCATCTGTCAAAATACTCACGTGTGCGGCGGATTTTCGTTGAGTATTTTGACGCATGCATCATTTTACTCGAGTGAAATTACTCACGTGTGCGCCGTGCTTAAGACACCTTCCTGGTCACACGTCGTGACGAGGATGTTGCCGCTAGTTGCTTGGGTAACGAGGGTGACGCCTTGCGGTATACGTTGCAGGTGCTGGCGTACTACGCGGCGGCGACGGAGCACGACCCGACCTGGTACAAGGCGTGGCACGCGCTCGCCTACATGAACTACGAGGCCGTGCTCTTCTACAAGAACCGCGGCCAGGGCACCCCCACCCCCGCCACTGCGCTGCCGCCCCCCGTCCCCGCGCCCGCCGCCGCCACCGTCGTACCGTCGGCCGCCCCCGCCGTTGCCGCGGCGACCGCCGACAAGCCGGAGAACGGCGCGGATGCCGCCGACAAGCCGGGGAACGGCGCGGTGGCGGCGGCTGCGCCGGCGGCGTCTGCACTCGTGGTGTCTGCGGTGCCGAAGCAGTCGACGGCGTCGGTGTCGAACGCGTACGTGCTGACGTACGCCGTGCCGGCGGTGCGCGGGTTCTTCCGCTCGATCGCGCTGTCGAGCGGCAGCTCGCTGCAGGACACGCTGCGTCTGCTCACGCTCTGGTTCGACTACGGACACTGGCCGGACATCTACGAGGCGCTCGTCGAGGGCCTGAAGACGATCCAGATCGAGACCTGGCTGCAGGTGAGGCGGTGCGGGGCGGGGCGGGGCTGGGGTGTGGGTGGCTGCAGATGAGGCCCCACCTAATCTAACCCTAACTGCCCATTCAAGCCATACACCCCTCATCGTGGCCACACCCTCCCCCACGGCCCCACCCACTGTGGCCCTCCCCTCCCCCGCGCCCCGCCCCTCCCCCGCCACGCACTGTGCCGAGCATGAATGCGGTGTTCTATGTTGAGCAGGATGCGTTTCTTCTCGGCGGTAGTCCTTGATGAGGATTGCAGCGTGTCGCAGTGAGGAACCCAGCCGATCAGCCCGCTGTTGTCGACAGCGGGATCACGAGTAGCGCTGGAATCGTGAGGTTCCGCCGCAGCGTGTCGGCGTTGTTCAGCAGCAGCGTGTTCACGAGCCGAACAGCTGCATGACCGTTCGTCTTGACGAAGATCCTCGTGACCCTTCAGCAGGAACATGAAACTCTGCGCGCGTTGCTGCCTGGAACCGATGAATGAGTGCTGAGAGAGAGAAACGAAAGAGAGGGAGAGAGGGTGAGGGAGAGAAAGAGAGAAAGAGAGAGAGACAAAGAGAGGGAGAAGGAAAGGGCGAGGGAGGAATAAGAAGGAGAGGGAAAAGGAGAGGTAGAGGAGAGAAGGGGAGAGGGCAAGGTAGGGAAAAGAGAGAGAGAGATGGGGAGGGGAGAGGGAGGGAGAGGGAAGGAAAGAGGAGAGGGAGAGGGAGAGAAAAGAGAGAGGGAGAGGAAACGGGAGAAGGAGAAGGACAGAGAAAGAAGAGAGGGCGAGGCAGAAAGAAGGAAAGAAGAGGAAAACCTTACGCCATCTAAGCCCCCTCTCACACGTATCCCGCGACGCGACCGCTCATCCGACCACTCCCCTGCCGCCTCCCCCCTCGCGCGCGCGCTACCTGTGATGCAGAGCTTGCGCGGCCGCTGCTTGGAGGTGATCACTCTGCAGCGAGCTCTGCACGCGCTGTATGCGCACGACGGGCTGGCGCGGCTCGTACGTGCCGGCACGGCCAAGCTCGAGGTCGCGGCACGCGAGGCAGGCTTCGGCGACACGTACTGAAGCTCGAGCGCGGTGAGCTGGCGGCAGCGCCGGCTGATGCGGCGGAACAGCGTTGTAGTGAGCGCGTCCCAGCCTGCGTCAGGTTCTTCACGTCGCCCGACTGCTGGAACTTGCGGCACCACTCGAGCGCCTCACTAAGGTCGCGCCCGTACGCCTGCGAATGAGGAGAGGAGGAGGAGGAGGAGGAGGGTATTATATATATATATTATATATATATATATATTATATATATATATATTTTATTAATACATAAATGGATATATATACATATTTTATTTATTTATACTACAAGTGCACAGAGCGCGCAGCGCTCAACTGACATGTACTGTAGGCCAGGTATTCTTGATAAACTAACTGGCAACCGAATCAAGTGCGGCCCTCCTGCCACCCCGGTTCGCGCTCATGAGCATATATCTAGGATACTACTAATACAGATCTAAATCTATGATAGGCTTTGTTATAGCTACTGGTAGTACAGTAATAAAGATACAGCTGTGTAACTTTAATGACTTCGCTATATAACATGTTATCATGGATATGCATCGAGCGCGAGCATAGTGGTGGTGGTGGGGGAGGGTGGTGGTAAGGGTGGAAGGGGGAGGGTGCGGTAGGGGGTGGAAAGGGGGAGGGGGAGGGGCGGGTGGAGGGGCTCTAATAGCAAAAGCAGTTCAGTCCTTTGTTAACAGTCAACAAATCCATGTTTAACGTTCTCTTGAGGGTCAAAAGGTTATCAGACACTTACTCTTCGGCACGTCAGCGGAAAGTAGATTTCATGGTCCTTTCAATAAAGTGATAAAAACAGTAGGTCAGTGCTGAAACAAAAAAGTTTTCATCTGTCCATTAGGCATGTCCTCAGAAAATGTCTGATATCTGACCTTTCCCCCAACTGCCCGTTGACCTGTGACCTCCAATTTCACGCTGGTGATGGTTTCCTCCCGCATCACACTATACATCGAATATTTAATAAGAGCGTAGGTCGAGCGCAGTTGAGATTTTTCCACAATTCGCTATTTCCTCCTATTCCTTAAGTTAAGGAGGAAATATTCCCCCTCAAATTGACACATCTTGATCTCGACCCTTGATGCCCCAAATTCGACATCCCTGAGTCCTTTTCGGCGATCCCCCCCCCCACCGTCCCAAATAGCTAAGACCTACGTCGAGTGGTTAAGATTTGTGCCCAACTGTGTGACGCAAGAGATGGACAGACGGACGAACAATCATGCGATTCATACAAGCTGCAATCTGACTTCATCCAGCTGAGCTAATAAATCCTTATATATAGTTTTGATACCGTGACGACTCGCGTGGTGTTCATAACTCGCATATTTCGACATCTCACACGAATCAAGACCACGACACAGCATCATCACACAGAGCGTCGCGTCGCACGACGGCCACGCGAGCGAGGGAGCGACGCATACTGGTTGAACGAGATCTCCTTGAGCGTCTGCGGTCCGCGCTCCATCATGGCGTGCAGCGGCTCCAAGGTCGTGAACATGCCTTGCTGTTGCGCTCCGTGAAGTACTGCCGCGACGCCTCTTCGAGTCCCTCGTGCCACATCTCGTGCCACAGGATGGCCACCCTGATAAGCTCC